AGATTTTAGGCGCTTCAGTCTGCATTGTCTTTCTTAATATGTCAGCCCTGGAGAACTGGGGCAAAGAGGAGATAGCGAGAAACACAGTGACAAAGCTGGCAGTGGGGGAAGGTTGTCGCATCGAGAATATTACAGCCACTTTCCCCAAGGACAACTATACATTAATTCAATTCAAGGTGAGAAGGTGTTAGGTGCATGCCTGTGCAACTCTGTCCTGCTGTTCAGATTCCGTGTTACACCTGTTGGAGAGAGGAGAGCTGCAGGTAAGAACATAGAAAAGGCCATATGGGTCAGACCAATGGTCTATCTAGCCAAGTTTCTTGTCTTTCAGCAATGCCTACTGCTAGGCAATGAACAGAACAATCACTGAGTGATCCATTCCCTGTTTTCCACTACCAGCTTCTGGCAGTCAGAGGCAAGAAAAACTTAAGAGCATGGACTTGCATGCCTGACTATCTCTGCGAATAGCCAAAAGATACTCTAACCCAGCGTGACTTACAATGGTTAATTTGTATGCGCACAAAGACTAACAACAGGCCACTGCAGTTGTAGACTATATTTTAAATAAGTGCATTTCTACCACAGCTACTGGTAGAAGAAAGAGAGGGAGGCAAAGTCATGCATATAAAACCTATTCTTCTTCCCCTCCTATACTGACTGTGACCAGACCCACCAACTGGTGGCGAGGATGGGGAGCAACAGGGGCAACTGCCCTGGGGACAAGCAATTCTGAAGGGCCCAGGGTCCCTGTAGCAGCAGCTGTGCCTGGAGCCCTGAGCCCTTTAAATTGCTGCTGAAGCGCTGCATGATGCACTCTGGGTGGCTCAAAGGGCAGGGGGAGGGGGAGAGGTGGCATGGTACACTTGCTGCCCTGGTCCCTCCCCTTCTGGGAGCACGGATCTACCTCCCCCACCTTGCACAGGGGCCTGGAGCATCAGCTCACTGGACTGTGACAATTGTTGCAACAGGCCACCATACAAAGTCAAGGACCTGATCATGAAAGGCACAGTGTCCCCAATGGAAGCTCAGCACCTCTAGGGACCAGGGCCCCAACTGTTTAGCAAGCTACAGAAAGGAATTTTTAACCAGTTTGACAATAAAAATAATACCTTAAAAAACAAATGGAAAATTCTGCCTGGAAAAGCAGCACACAGCATGAGCTCACAGGATTCAGCAGACTATAAAATAGGAAATGAGACAAACTCTTCTCCCCAACAGCTGCACAAACCCCTCCTACAAAGATTAGAGGCACACTTGGCAATTGCCTTCCTCCTTCAGCCTCACTCACTGTGGATGAGGCAGAGCTGGTAAAAGCACGAATGCGGAGAGGCTATTAGATAAAGCATCTTGTAAAATCAAGCATGAAATATTAACAACAGGAGGTGATGGGTTGTGTTTTTATGCAAGATCACAAATTCAGTGTTGAGAGAGCCTGAGATGCCCTTGTATATTAGAGCTTATGAGTGCTAGTTGAATGTTGCATTTAAAGAGCCATTGAGGCCTCTTGGAAAATTTTGAACAATTATGTTTTTATTTGCTGTATTTTCTTTCTTTTGTTGTTGCTGTTCCCATTCTAGGGCCTTTTGCATGAAAACAAGTTGTTTATTTAGTTCCCATTTATCAGGCCAGTTTCAGACGGTCTGTAACTGGGCATTCTGCAAACCTAATTTTCACATGCAGTTATCACAATTGGACACACATATGGTACCAACAAATTGTATTTGTGCACACAATTACCTATTTGCACACACAACTACATGAACTGTACAGATGCTCACCTGAAATATTGGAAAATCTGGCTATGTGACTTTTGTGCAGGTTAAAGAGGCTAGAGTAAGTACTGAATAATGAGTACTATTTATCCACTAAACGCGTAACAAAGTCTTTAACAGAGCAGCTGCCCCCATAATCCTTCACCCTTGCCTTGAAAAGACCACCTTCTTTGGGTGAGAAGGCAGTTCAGTTTCATTAGTCCATTAAGTCCTTTCTTGTTCTAGTGGAGAGTTAGTGCCTATTAGTGCCAAGTGTGACTGGTTGTGTGGTGAGGACAACTATCCACCCCTTTATAGACTAATCATAGCAACCTTTGGCACTTAAAAGTTTAATTGACACTTGCCATCACAATGCTCCATGAAAATCAAACTTGAGCTCTGCAACAAACTCTGAAGATTTCACAAAGAGGTAGTCAAGGAATCAAATGGGGAGATAACCCACAGGAGCCGATTCATGCATAGTACAGCGTGTCTCCCATCTTGGTAAGGTTCTTAGGAACACAAGACAGGGAAAAAGGAAGAAAACAAATCAGACACTCACTAGAGCTGGTGTGTCATGTGTAGAAAGAAGGGCATTCACAATTGCTCAGAAGGTATGCCAGGCTCTAGAGTTGGGATTTCATTTTGGAGTACCAGTGTGAGCTTTCCAAACAGATCTGTTCTGCCCCAAGCCCAGAGAAAGATAGGGGGTGGGGGGAGTGTACATGGCAGCTAGCACCTTCCAAGGTCCCTATTCAGCAATGAGGGAGTAACAAGTGTAGTGGACTTCCTGAAAAGCAGGTAAAACCACAATTTCATCCTGCATGGAGATGTTCTGAGAGCTAACCAAACATTTCACAGCAGTGCTCCCAGGAGATTTAGCTATTATCCCAGGGCTGAAAGGCATTCCTCCTCACTCCCTCTTCTGCAGCTAGCTTTCTAGCCCCATCACTGGGCTGCACACAAAGCATGTCAGATTAGTTTATTTACAACTTCATAGGTATCCTGTTCTCCTCCTCAATTCTTCTGTATCAGGACCCAAAGCACCAGTCTGTAAGGGATATGACAGCACATACAGAGGCTACAAAATAAGAGATTTCTGTCATGACCAGCCTCCACCTTCATCTTATAGACTTCTGGTTAGAAGGCTCATCAATGGATTAGGAAGGTGATTGCATGGCAGAGGGAATAAAACCAGTTAAACAAATCCAGTGTTTCATTAGGAAGTACTGGATCGCCTCAGACAACTACTCTGTCATCAGTGGAGCTGCACAATGGTGGCAGTGCACATGTCCAGCATTAACCTGAATGAGGCCAGAAATGTTGCATTTGCATTTTTATGGCTGGATTCTTTCCACCCCACCCATTGGGTTCATTTTGTGAGCGATCACATCTGTGTGTTTCACAGACACCTGTATATCTTGAGATGACAGCAACTCCCTGAATGCTGTAATCAGTTACTTCTCAACAGAGGAATTGCCAATTTGGTAAATAAAGCTAATTATGAAAGAACATCAAAATGACAGTTGCCTCAGGGAGAAAACTGTCCTGTGCAGAAAAATAAGTTCAGAACGGCCATGCTGGGTCAGACCAAAGGTCCATATAGCTCAGTATCCGATTTTCTGACAACAGACGATGCCAGGTGCCCCGGAGGGGATGAAGACAATAGGTAATCATCAAGCGATCCATCCCCCCATCACCCATTCCCAGCTAAATATTCGGTCCTGGCATCATGAGCCATCCCTCCACAAACTGGGGCAACTGAAATGCAGGTCATGCAGACTATATGCACAAAGCAAACCTGGGGGAGAGGTGAGATGAGGAGACAAGCTAACAGGGACTATCACCTCACCAAGTCAAAAGCAATTAAGTAGTAGTGGCACCTGGAGATGAACCTTACCCCTCTAAATTCCTGCAGCAGTGTCAAAAGAGGTGCGGCTCTAGTGCTCTGCTCGACAGAATGTGTATGCTGTGGGCAGAGTAGGAGCTACAGCCTGCTGCATGGAGCAGCACAGAGAGCCCTCCCAATGCAGCCAGCGAATATCTGAGGGTACAAAGTGCCCAGCTCTGGTTCATAAAGCTCTCTCCTCTCTCCAGAACCAGTGGGCCTGCCCTGCCAGTGCAGAATTTCGGAATGTGTGGGAGATCCATGACTTTAACAAAGGGAGGGCAGTGAGTGAGAGAACACAGTGCCCTGTAGAGTGAACAGGGCTTTGCAGCTCATCCTGCTTGATGAACAGCAAGTGTAAAAGGCTAGGAGACTGAGCTGACATATGGGGACTTTTCCAGTTTAAGCGCATCCATGATGAGTGGCAAAGTTCAATGACAACTCGGTAGGTGGCATTCTTTAGTACTGAACACCCAAAGCAGCTGTGAGGGGCACTATAATGCTGGAGATGCCACATTTTGGTTAGGTCGTTAAATGGAGGTTCTGATCTTATGTGGTTATTATGGTCCGTCTTTCAATAGCTTTGGTGCTGGTTGGATGTTTTGGCTAAATTCCATTTCTGCTCATTTCATTCTGGCTACTTAATATTCCCCATGTGGTTTCAACTGGAGAAGTTATTCTTCATTTCCTGTCTTAAAGTGCTACACAGTGTTCTTAGCATGGGAGATCATGGACCAGGTCCAAACCTATAGTTGGCTGCATGTCAAAGATGGACGGACAATCTTTGCATGTGCTATACACACAAGTAAGAGTGTGCAAAGCAATACAGATATGCCAGTCACAGACCGGAGCCAGGCATTACAGATGATAGTAGACCCTCAAAGAAATAGTCAAAATTGAACGACTGCCTCTGAGCATGGGTAGGGATGCAATGCTAGATATGCTGTTCTGCACTGTCCCTTGTTCCACAGGGGGGGAACACAATGGAGTGGGGGAGGGGGAAGAGAAAAAGAGAGGAGCGTTCACACAGCAAGTGGGAGAGAGTGAGAGAGCACAAGAGACAAACAATGAGGGCTCTACATTAGGTAAGTAAAGGTTTTTTGCTGCATGATTCACCACAGCTAGCTCCCCTTTTGGCCAAGCCTTTGTCTCCTTCCATTTTAATAAAAGCCAAAGAAATTCAGCCCCTGGCCTGAAAAAAATAAGCAGATTTTTAATTTACAAGCTGTGAATGGAACTGTTCCTATCCCTATTCTTGATGCTCACTGGGAATTGACAGATTTTTGCTGCTGGCTGGGGCTGGAGGGAAAGTAAGGAGCAATTCTCAAACTCACAGAGCTGAAAGCATCTCATGGACACAGTGACCATTAAACAGTTTATTGTTCTCAGGAGGGAGCCTTGGAAGGGAAGGAATGTGTTTGCTAGTATTAACCACAAGAGCATGGTAGGAACAGTTAATCCTAACAAGCAGGTCAGGGTTGCTTCTCCAAATACTTCAGATGCTTTTCACTGGAGCACAAGGACAAAGGCAACAGTGCTTGAAACACAGATTGGGTAAGTTAAACCAAAACTAGTACGAAGTTTACTGGACCTCGGGTCACATGGACTGCTGAGTTATGTGCCATGCGTTGGGTATTTGTGTTCATAAGCTTCTTTTCACAATGAACGAACACAAAAGGTGAAGCACATTTGGCAGAACGATGCTGCCCCTCAAGCCCTCCCTTGGCCCCAAACTCCAAAAACATCCAGCAAGACCAGTACATGCAGGCATTTAGAAGAGAAACTGTGTCATTTTCTTGGACTGCTACGGACAAAAGGCACCAATTTTGATCAGCACAAATCCAGAATGATGCTGGGCTTCCAAGGGCCTCTGGGTCCTGTGCTCTGTTCTTTGGTGGCTGCCGGAGTTTATTCATAGTTAACCAACAGATCCTGGGAAAGAAGAAGACAAAGGGAAGATCTGGCTGGTTAGTTGTTCAACTGCTGGCACTGAACAGTTTGTTTGTGAGATGAATGAGTAACATGAGTGACGAGATATTGTTCACACCCAAACAGGAGGAACAGCACCCTTCAGGAGATGATTAAGTATTATTGGCTGCAAAGCAAAGCAAGATGTAGGGAGAATGGGAATTGTAGAATAGGTCACTGAAACAGCCAAATGGCAGAGACAGAACATTTCAAAATGTGCAACCGGCCCCTCACCTCTGTCCACCCTGTCCCACCCAGAACCAACATGATCCCACCCCAATTTACAGGTCTGGAACATTTGACGAGGAAGAAATTAAAACCCCAAAGCTCCATTTGCTTCTTGAAGAGCTTTGAATTAACATTCTGTATCTACACAGGGTAGCTCACAGCAGCAGAGATCTTCTCACTGCGGGAAAGGTTTCCTCTCAGACTCTAGCAAAGTCAAAGCTGGTTTGAAGAGGATGAACACTCCTAGTTCCAAACAGTTCACTTGCTCCAAGATTGCTTCTGGTCCATTGCCTCTACATGTTGTGAAACAACAGACCTGAGTTTCTGTTCAGGCCAGGGAGGGTTTCTTTCTGGTTCTCACCTGAAACCTCCTCAGCCCCTGTACCACGCAGCTTCTGGGAGTTAGTAGCAAAAAATCCCAATCCAAGCTAAAGAATGTTAAACCCTCTTTTTTGGTGTGGGGCTTACTCAAACTAAGGCTGCTTGCTGGGAGCTAGCATCCCCTATAACAGGGGTGGCCAACCTAAACCTGAGAAGGAGCCAGAATTCACCAATGCACATTGCCAAAGAGCAACAGTTCTAAGTCACCAGCCCTGATTGTCTCCCCACCACCACTCAGCACATCCTGCCCACTGGCAGGTCCACCAGTCAGCGCCTCCTTCTCCCTTTCCTCCTGCCCACTGGGATCAGCTCTTTCTCAGTGGGAGACACTGGAGGGGGGGAAGCATGGATGTGACAGGCTCAGTGGAGAAGGTAGGAAGTAGCAGGATCCTAGGGGGAAAAGGTGAAGGGGGACAGCGCCTAGGGCAGAGCTGGAGGTTGAACAGTGAGCACCCTCCGGCCCAGTGGAAAGTTGGCACCTGTAGCTCCAGCCCTGGATTTGGTACCTAGGTAAGGAGCCGCATATTAACTTCTGAAGAGCCGCATGTGGCTCTGGAGCCACAGGTTAGCCACCCCTGCCCTACAATCTCTGCCAGGCTGACCCCATCTCCTCTTCTGACAGTGGAGGGGAACAAAAGGCAACATCTCTTTGCCAGACTCCTCTCTGATGACAAGTAAGAGGAGAGATACTCTGTGGCCTGATCTGACATCTTTCTGGGATCTTGGGTCCCACAAATGGTAAGGCTGACCTTGGGGACAAATGAAAGCAGCCCCAGGATCAAACAGGAAGCACAAGCTCTGGTGAGGGACAAGGAAAAAAACCTAGCCCAATGGAAGGATATAAGAATGGGGATTTAAGTACTACAGTGAGAAACAGCAGGTCTCTGCCATTAGATTCAAGAGTCAATGTTCTCTACATCAATTGTGGAAACAGATTATTTTTTCCTGCAAGTACCTGGTAGCATCTTGGCCTCTTGTTATAAGTGCCAAACTGACTCACACAGACCAGGATGACAATACAATCCTTGTTCCTGCCTTTTGATGGGCCTTAGCCCTGACCTTAGCCTGATTACCCAAGTTATCTTACAACGTGCCCCGTAGACTAGAAACAGCAAGTTCACAAGTGAGGGCTCGCAACTGAGAATGAACACTAAGGCCGGCACTGAAAATCTCTGTTCTAGTAATCAATAGCCAGAGTGATGATCCTCTCATCATGGTTTGTGGGCAGGTGGGAAGAGGGGCAAGTACCAGATCAGCTATGGGCAACAGTGCACCACCTTGGCAGTGTTCAGCCTGGTGCTG